CTCCCTGGCTCCATTATCATTAAGAGGCTTTATTCCCTGCCAAATGTCAGCCTTGGATCACCCCCACCATCTTCCTTCCTACACATTCTGACTGTCTCCACTATAAATTTATGTTACCTAACCTCACGTGGGTTCTCACTGCTGATAAGCAATACATCCCTTATCAACTGGATATGTCACTCTCAACAGTGGCTTTTCTGAATCTTTTCAACCCTCCTCAAACCTTCCATGCCTCTCCTTCCCTACGCCCTCTCAGCTAAGAACCTTGCCTCATATTTTACAAAAAAATAGAGACCATTTACCATAAGCTTCCTCTTCTCCCATCTTCCTCATCTCATATCACTCAGATGCCTTCTGCCATTATCTTTTCGTTCACCCCTGTCTCACACAAAGATGTCTTGGCAAACTCCTCTACCTGCACAAGTGATTCTATTCCATCCCATTTTCTCCATCAGATTGCCACCTCTATCATCCCAATCCTATCACTTAGCTTCAATCTCTCTGAAACTGCTCTCTCCAGAGTTACCAGTGATCTCTTAATTGCCAAATTCAATGGCCTGTTCTCAATACTTATTCTTCTTGATTTCTCTGCAGCCTTTGACACTGTTAGCACCCTCTTCTCCTTGATACCCTCTCTTTTCACTGTTTTGTTTTGTTTTGTTTTTTTAGAACACTACTCTCTCCTACTTTTCAGCTACCTGTCAGATCACTCCTTCTCAGACTCCTTTGCTAGATCCTTATCCAGGATGAGAATCTTACCCTGCTAACTGTAAGTGTCACATAGGGCTTTATCCTGGGCCCTCTTTCCTATTCTGGATTTCTTCACTTAGTGATCTCATCAGCTCCCATGCATTTAATTATCATTTCTATGCAGATAATTCTCAGATCTATCTATCTTGCCCCAACCTCTCTGTTGAGGAAAATTAATATTGTACTGTATTATTTAATAACCAATATTTCTCTGTGATCCATCTTTTTCCTCATTTTGACAGACACCAGTTCTGAAAGACAGGCAGTTTCTGAAGGGTGTGATTGTGATTGAGCAAGATGATCACTTCTAGCCCCAAAGCTAGTAACCAAGCTGGGCAGGGCACCTTGCTTGTGTTTGCCCCATAAGCACAGAAGCCAGATTGAGCTAAGCCGTCCCCAGAGGATGACTCGTTTCCTTGTTTTTCCTAACCAAAGACAGGGATGACCCTGGTCTACATGAGGGAGACCAAACCAGAGAGACCTTATGAGATAGATGGCTTCTGTTTTTGGAGCCAAGATTACTAGAGGCAGCTGAATCTCATAAAACAACTAGCATTCTTTAAGTGTCAGAGAGGAGGCAATCAGCCACCTCTGAAGGCCAACTCACTTTTTCTAGCTTCACATTAACCCTTTCACCTGAGGATTAGTCCTCCTGTTGCAGAGAGTAGGGAATGAACTAATTAGGAAAAAGCTGAGAACTATTAACCACCTCTTCATTAAAATGTCCACAATTGAGATTGCCTTGCCATCCTCAGAGGCGGTCCAAATGATGTACTGTAAGGCCAATCAGAAGGAAGATAGGCCTAGGTTTAAAAAGCCCTGTCACCCTCAGTCTGGCTCTTTTGGTACAATTGGAGCCCTTTATTAATAGGTTCTGTACCCTATTAATAAATAATATCTTGCGCAGAGAATTGCCTCAGTTTACCCTTTGTTAAATTTCAATCGGGACATTGCTGACTTTCAATCTTTCATCTCCAGCTGCAATTCAGATATCTCCAATTGTATTTCCAGTAGACATTTTAAATTCAACATGTCCCAAACTGAACTCATTATCTTTCCCTCTAAACACTCCCTCCCCTCCTAACATCCCTATTACTATCCAGGGCAATATCATCTTCCCAGTCTCCTCAGTCTACTCACTATTTTTCATCCCCCACATCCCACACCCCCGTCCCCATCTGTTGTCAAGGCCTATTGATGTCAACTTTGTAACATCTCTTGAGTATATATCCCCTTCTCTTCTCTGACATAGTAAGTCCTCATTACCTCATATCTGGACTATTCTAATAGCCAGCTGGTGGGTCTGCCTACCTCTCAAGTCCCTCCCCATTCCAATCCATCCCCCAGACAACCATCAAAGTTATTTTCCTAAAGATTATATCTGACTATACGAAACATTCCCCAACTCCCCCACTCAATAAACTCCAATGGCTCCCTACCACCAGGATCAAATGCAAAATTCTCTGGTTGGTATTCAAAGCCCTTCATAAGCTACCACTCCTCTCCCCAAAATTTCCAGTCCTCTCAAACCTTATCCTCTGCCATGTACTCTATGATCCACTGACACTGGCTTCATTGCTGATCCAGAAACAAGACACTCCATCTTTTGGCTTGAGGCATTTTCTCTGGCTGTCTCCCTGGAATGCTCTCCCTCCTCATCTCTACCTACTGACTTCCCTGGCTTCCTTCAAGTCCCAACTAAAATCTCATCTTCTAGAGGAAGTCTTTCCTAAAGCCTCTTAATCCTAGTGGCTTCCCTCAATTAATGGTTTGCCATTTCCTTCTTCAGTTCATTTTACAGATGAGGAAACTGAGCCAAATATGGTTAAGTGACTTGCCCAGGGTCACACAGCCAGTAAGTGTCTGAAGCCTAATTTGAACTCAGATCCTACTGACTCTAAGCTGGGCACTCCATCCACTGTCCCACTTAGCTGCCCTCATTTACTTCCTACTTATATCTGTGGGTGCTCTGCCCAAAGGAATAAAAGTTTTGATCTTTGAAACCTTGCAAGATATGTTGGAGTTTACAGGTTAGATTTTTTTTTTCTCTTCCCTACTTATTTATTCTATCATTTTTTAAAAAACTGGGACAATTAACTCTTTTGCCCCATGTAGTTTCATTTACGATCTCTTGAAATATAGCACTGGAAAAAAAATAAAAACAGGCTTTGATAAAACCCATTGGGATTCAAATTGAGCTATTTGACCATGCCTTAAACCCAAATCACTCTGGCTCTCACTGATTGGCCAACAATAAATAATAGCTCAAGCCTCACTTGGGCATTGTTTGGGTTTTTATGGCTCAGAGTAAGTGTAAATAGCAATTGTTTTTGTTCTGGACAACCCAAAGGGTCTTCCCTCCCAGATTGATTTTTTTTAATAGATAAAAGAGGCTGTTTTTTTTTTTGCCTCATTTCTAAACTAGCCTTAAACACTGATTGAGTGTTGCCTCAGACAAACTGAGACCTGGGAAAGACCTTAGCTTAAAAAGGCCACAATCTCCCACTGCATCTGGGGCCATCTCCAGTCATTTGGATGTATATCTTGCCACTGGACCCAGATGGCTCTGGAAGAGAGTGAGGCTGGTGACTTTGCACAGCCCTGCCTCACTTATATCCAGTTCACTTACATGTCAAGACATCACCTTCTTGAGGTCAGTGGTCCTCTTCCAGAACAAAGGACAAACAACTTATCCTGTATATAGCTTATTTGCACATATTAGTTTGCTTGCTGTTTTCCCCATGAGGTTGTGAACTCCTCGCAGCCAGTCTTCTGCCTCTTTTTGTATCCCCAGAGCTTAGCACATAGTAGGTGCTTAATAAATATTTATTGACTACTTGCAAAATCTTTGACAAAGCAGTTAATCTGAGACTCAGATTCCTCATTTGTAAAATGGGAATAATCCCTACTCTGCAGGACTGTAGTGAGGTTGATTGCAGACGTATTTCTTGCCTCTAAACTCTGCCCCTCAGAAGGTCTGTGCAAGGTGTGGAGCAAGAGTGGAGCAGATTTTTTGTTTTTCCTGCTTCCTCCAATCTGTTCCTCACAGTCACTCAACCCCCAACACTGGTCTTGGCACTAAGCAGATCAGAATAACTAGTTGTGTGACTTTGCACAAGTTATTAACCTCTCTGGTTCTCACTTTCCTTAATGGCGAAATGGGCATAATCCTCAAAATGTCAGTGAATGTGAGTCAGCAAGTGTTTATAAAGTGCCTACTATGGGCCAGGCACTGAGCTATCATTAATGAAATGAGGCCCAAGACACAGGGCCCTTTGCAAACTTTGCAACAGTATGTAAAATCCAGCTGATGCCAATGATGAATAGCTCAAGCTATGGCCTGATTCTTTCAAAATTAACGCATTTTTTCCCCCTGGCAGCTAGGTGGCCCAGTGGATGGAGTGCCCCAGCCTGGAATCAGGAAGACGCATCTTCTAGGGTTCGAATCTGGCCTCAGATACTTACTAGCTGTGTGACCCTGGGCAAGTCACTTAGCCCTGTTTGCCTCAGTTTCCAATGAGCTGGAGAAGGAAATGGCAAACCACTCCAATATTCTTGCCAAGAAAACCCCAAATGGGGTCACGAAGAATTAGTCGTGACTGAAACAACCGATCAGTAAGACAGGAAAAAAAAGTGATGAATCATTCCTCCAGCCAACAGGGGCGCTCAACTGCGGCTGCGTTCGGGCGCCCAATTGCGCAGCCGCTGTCCCCCAAGGACCTTCAGGGAATAGAGGAAGCCGTCGTACCACTGGCCCCTACTCGCCCCGCCTCTTCCCGAGACCCCGCCCCCAGGATCAGAACCTCTCTTCTCTCTTTCATAAGTCCCAATCCTTCCCCTCTCTTCCCTCGGCCTTTTCTTTCCGGCCCCGCCCCATCCGCTACTTTTTCTCTTCCCAACCAACCTTATCCTCTCTGTTCCATCCCTTCCCTCTAACCACGCCCCTCCCATTACGTAATTCTCCTAGCTCTTCACTTCGTATCCTGGATTCCAGGGTCCGTCTTCCTTCGCTTCCCAGCCCTACTAGTTGTGTTTTACGACACTGTCGTCTAACGGCGGGTCTTTACGGCAGCGAGAAGCGGCCGGACGGCAGCGGCCGTGGCAGCGGGAGCGGGAGTTTGGGCGTCGGTGGTGGTGCCGGGCGGAAGCGGCGGGGGCGACGGATCCGGCCGTTTAGGCCAGGCCAGGGCCGGGACCGGAGCCGGAACCGGGGCCGGGGCCGGGGCCAGGACGCGGGGCAGGAGGAGGCGGCGGCGGGGGGGTTGATGCCCGGTGGCGGGGGGAGCCCGGCGCCCTGCAGTCTCCTGGCCGCCTCGGAGCCGCGGGGGGGCGAGGAGGCAGCGGCGGCGGGGCCCGGGTCCGGCGGCCCCGGGGGCTCCTCTTGCGGCGGGGTCGGGGGCCCCGGGCCCGGCGGCGCCGGCAACAGCAGCAGCGGCGGAGGCCCTGGGGGCAGGATGAGTCTGTCCCCGAAGGAGCTCTCCAGCCTGCTGGGGATCATCTCGGAAGAGGCCGGGGGCGGCAGCACCTTCGAGGGCCTGTCCAGCGCCTTCCATCACTACTTCAGCAAGGCGGACCACTTCCGCCTGGGCTCGGTGCTCGTGATGCTGCTCCAGCAGCCGGACCTGCTGCCCAGCGCGGCGCAGCGCCTCACCGCCCTCTACCTGCTCTGGGAGATGTACCGCACCGAGCCCCTCGCCGCCAACCCCTTCGCAGCTAGCTTCGCCCATCTGCTCAACCCGGCGTCCCCCGGCCGGGGCGGCCAGGAGCCCGACCGGCCGCCGCTCTCAGGTACGGAGTTCCCCCGGCTGCCTGCCCCTCCCCCACCGGCGCGAAACCCCCAAAGGGAGTAAGGAGCGAGGTCAGGAGTGCGAGCGTCTTGATTTTGGCTCTTCCCTGGGGGACTGACCCCGTCACTTCACCCCCGCGGGGCCTGCGCTCAGCTTACAATGGGGGGGGCGGGGCTGTGCTACATCAGGAGCTCTTAACCTTTTGTGTGTGTCTTGAATCTTTTGCCAGACTCGTGAAGTCTATGGACCCCTTGTCAGAAGGATGCTTTTAAATACACAGAACAAAATATATAGTTACAAAGGAAACCAATTATATTGAAATAAAATTATCAGAAGTTCACAGACTCCAGTTTGAGAACCTCTGGGCTAGATCTCTTTTAGCTCTGACCTCAAATGAGTACAGTGTCGCAAGTAAAGCTCTTTACTCCATAAAAATCCCTTATTTCTCTTCATCTGGATGGGGCACTACTTTTCTGTTTGTAAGAGACGATATGATTTAGAGACCACACGTTTGGCCAAGCAAAAGTTTGGTGGCGGTCTGCCCCACTACAGTTTCTAGCCTCTTATGTTCTTGCATTAAGACTCTGATGAGCTACTTCTTTTGGAGGAATTTCTTCCCCTTTCTCCCTTCTCCCATAAGGATCAGGCTAGAAATTCCCTGTTCTTTGGAGAGACATCTCAAGTTCTTGGAGGTGGATGAGTAGAGGATTGACTTCCAGTTTAATAAAGCATATAATGTGTATGACCATTATCTGGCATTTCCCCCATCTTCTAAACATATCAAGGGTACACTGTAAAACTGGAGTGGGAATATAGGTTAAAAAGTAAAAGCACTAAAATCAATCAACAGTCTACTACTTAAAGACATTGAGAAGCCTGTCTTTTTTTCCCCCTCCTATCTCTTCCCCGAAGGCAATAAAGGCAACTCTTGTTCCAGACTCATATGTTTGAGTGCCTCTTATTTCTGGGAAATGATTCTTCTGTTCCATTTGCCTTTGAATATTAATCTTATTATGTTCCCAAATTTTGAATTTCATTAAAATGGGAGTTGAGAGTTAATTAGAAGACAGTAGTCATAGGAGTCTATGAAAAGCAGAAAAGAACTCAAAGCTAGTTTTCCTTTCTAGAGGCTGGAATAGCCTTAAGACTTTTGAGGGGAAAAAAGTAAGGACTGTTTATATTTATTTAGATCTCAGGAATCCATGTAGCATTTTTAAATTAATTTCTTTGGTAGGTAGAATGGGGCAAGGGAAGGGATGAAATTTTTTTAAATAATATTTTCCCCCAGGTACATGAAAAACAATTTTTAACATATTTTTAAGTTTTGAGTTCCACATTTTATCTTTCTCTTCCCTCCTCCTCTGAGACAGTAAACAGTCTGATACAGGTTATACATGTGCAGTCATGTAAAATATGAAGGGATGAAATGTTGAAGTAGCTTGACAGGTGGGAAGAGCAAAAGTGTCCCCTCTTTACTGTCTTTAATTATTCCTTGAGTCATCACTACCTTAAAGCATCTTTCTCCAGTATGATGTTTTGGATTAATTTCTCAGTCTTACCATTGCCATTTTGATCACCAGGGGAAATTTGTCTCTTATTTCTCAGTCTTCTTTGTTGAGTCATCATCCATGTTGTTCTTCTCTTGTTGTAGGTACATCCCAAGCCTCTTCCTTGGGCCCTCTTTTCTTCTGTCTCTACACTTGGTGATCTTAAGAGCCCCTATCATATCAAGCATCATCTCTGTTCAGATGATTTTCAGATTTCTATATCCAGCCCTAGACTCCTGATTCTTTGATTCTGCTGAACTCCATTCTGGTATCACCAACTACCTGTAATAATAGTTTTTACGTAGCCCTTTAAGGTTTATAAAGTGTTTTGCATATGTTACTTCATTTGATCTTCACAACAGCCCTGTAAAATAGGGACTGTTATTATCCCTATTTTACAGATGGGAAAACAGCCTGGGAGAGGTTAAGTGACTTGTACAGGGTTGGTCACACAGGTAGTAAGTGTCTGAAGTAGAATTCGAATTTTCTGGTCTTCAGTGTTCAATCCACTGTGTCAACCTAGCTGTTATTGGAAGCACTATCTCTGACTTCATGTCCCTTAAGCATCTTAAACATAGAATATCCAAATGGGACTTCATTATCTTCTGAACTTTCTTCATCCATGTCATATTTCTGTTGAGAGCACCACCATCCTTCCTAGTTTCAAAACATTAAAAGTCATTCTGTACTTGATATTCTGTCATATTCCAGTCAGTTGCCAGATCTTGTCAGTTCTGTTTTTACAACATAGTTCACATCTTTCCCCTTTTTTCTCGTCCCATGTATATCTGATTCAAGTCACCACTTGCGCATATTATTTCAACCTCCTCTTAAAATATTGGTCTCTCTCTTCTCCAGTCCATCACCTCCACCCCTACTTCCCGACAAAATAATCTTCCTGAAGTACAAGTTTTGCCATTTTACACTCCCTACTCAGAATCTGTCAGTGTTTTATTATTGCTCTTAGATAAAATACAGATGCTTAGCATTTTAAAACTTTCCCCAAAATGTCCTACCTTTCCCTTTTATTTCATAGCACTCTCCTTCACATGTGCCAACCAAACTGATATTTACTGTTTCTGGATTTAGCATTCCTTACCCCATTTCTATTTTCTGTCTTTTTACTTATTTTATGATGTTCCCTGTGCCTGTGATATAACTGTATTATCATTTCCACCTCGCTAACTTTCTTTCATCCCTGGTTTCCTTCAGGGCTCAGCTCCTGGGCCATCTCCTACAGGAATACAATTTTTCCTTTTCATGTTTTTTATACTTATCTGGTTATATTTTGTGTCCCACTAGTAGAAGCTAAGTTCCTTTGGGCAGGGACTGTTTTTCATTTTCATTTAGCACCTAGCCCCATGTTTTGCATGTGATGGACACTTTATATCTGCTTGTTGGAGTGGATTGGTTGGCTTACGTAGGTGTTCTAACTGAAGATTTATCATCAAGAAGAATACATGCCTCAAAAAACACTGCTTTATAGTTTTAGGATTTGTCAGTAAGCATTTATTAAGTATCTATTTGTTAATTACCTATTAGTAAGCATTTATTAACTATTGCAGGCACTGATCTTGGCGCTGAGGATCCAAAGATAAAATTGAAACAGTGCCTGCTTTCAAGGAGCTTGTATTCTGTTTGGGGAATTAGCAAGTGCAAATATAATTAAATACAAAATTTATACAAAGTAATTTCCATGATGGTAAGCACTAGCAGTCAGCAAGGATCAAGAAAAGCTTCTTGTAGGAAGAAGTGGCACTTCAGTTGAACTTAGGAGACTGGAAATTCTAAAAGAAGAGTGAAGTAATGAGGGTGTGAATTCGAGGCCTATTGATGGCAGTCTGGTGCAAAGGCCAGAAGAGAAGAGGTAGAACATCCAGTATCAGCAAGAAGGTCCATATAGGTGGAACATAGTGCATGAAAAGGAGTAATGTATAGTATCTGGAAAGTTAGCTTGTGAAGGACTTTAGTGCCAAAGGGAGGAGTTTTTCTTTTAGGCTAGAAACAGTAGGGTACTAGTAGTGGCAACTAGAGCTTTTTGAGCCAAGGAGTGACATTGTCAGGCCTGTATTTTAGGCATTTCATTTTAGCAACTGTGTGGAGGGTGGAGTAGAGAAGAGTAACTTTTATTTGGGTTAACATGAAACGGATTGGCTCTGCACTAACTTTTAAGTCCCACAGATGAATGGATAAACAGAGTTTAGAGAATTTCAGGAGAATTCTTTTAAAAGTTTACTTTTCTAGTTGTGTGCCCTAGTGGAAATAGACCTGGACTAGGAATTAGACTGGTAATCTAATCCAAGCTCCGTAGTTTACCTTTGGCACCTTTGGCCAAGTTGCTCCACCACTTTGGACATCAATTTCCAAATGATTTCCTAAGTGATTTGACTAAGAGAGCTCTAAAGTACCTTTGAACCCTAGATATTAAGACCTCAATTTTCTTCCTAGGACTTAAGTTTTATGATATAAAATTTTCAAGTCATCTTCATTATATGTTGTCTTAAGTCTAATCTTTATTCTAAGCATTTTATGATGAGAAGGTAAGGATCATACTCAAGTTCATAGCCATGTCTTTTCTAAAGTAGATTACTGTGTGCCGTATGTAAAATTAATAACTATGCAGCAAGGATAAGGATTGATCACCTGGGATAGGTCCAGGTTTGTTCTTTAAGGAAAGCAACTCAAGACCTGTGCCTCTTATTTAAGATTTGGGGGACTTTTGACACTTATGAGGTTTGGACCCCTTAATAGTATGAATCAAAGATTATAATCCACAGATTACTTTTCTGGGACTAAAAGCCCCTAGAGCCATTGTAATATCCTTTTGTAGGAGGAGAGGTGGTAGGAGTGGTGCCTTCTCCCTCCACCCTTGTTTGAATTAATGGAGGCAGTGTGGACTAGTGGACTGAATACTGGATATGGAGTCATCTGACACTTATGAGCTGTATATCTAAGTCAGTTAATCTTACTGAGCCTCGGGTTCGAGCTCTGTCAAATGAGAGTGATACGCTTGTAACTTTACAGTTTTGTTGTGAGAATCAAAGATCATATACACAAAGGGCTTTGGAAACCTTAAAGTGCTTCATACATATTATAGTAGGCACTTAATACATATTTGTTTATTGATTCAAAGAAACTGGAAACAAGACATCTTTTATGTGTTATTTTCCCTTCCTCTTCTTTCACCTTACCTTATTAGAAATCGTTGCACCAGTATGGACAGCTCACCTTTTGCTTTTTGGAATCTTTCATGGGCTGCCAGTGATCTGCCTAATGTTCTTGAAGTGTGGTTGGTGAAATTCCAGTATTACTCTCACCACATAGCCCTCCTCTCACTTTTTTTTCCCTGACAGGGTACTTAAATCAACTGGGACTTCTTTACAAGTCAATGGGTTTCTGACTTCAAAGGCCATTACTGTAGTGGGAAACAAGTATATATCCTGCAGTTGACACCAAAGTAATAGCTATATTCTTAAATTCAGATATATGATTTTTAAAGGAGGACAAGGGCTTTAAATAGTATAGAGTTCAGGATAAGCAGGGACAAATGAGAACAAGAATTCATTTTTTAAATTTTACATTAAGAATAGACTTTGATGAAGGTGGTGAGTTTCCATGATCTCTGGCCTTAAGGATATTCCAATCCATCCTTTATAGTACTTTCTGTGTACTTTTCCTAGTACATGCCTTTGACTACATCAGTTCTTTCTGCTCAAAAACTTGAGTGATTTTCTGTAGCTTACCAAATAAAATATATCACATTTTTTATTCAATGCTCTCCTCAATTTGGATCTAGCCTGCCTTTCTAGTCTTATCTCAATCAAACTGAACTACTTACTTTTCCCCATTCTGTTTCTGCTCTTTCCTGTCTCCATCTCAATCTGCATCTGTCAAATATTCTCCCTTCCTTAAAGGTTTAAAGGTAGCTTCCTTCGAGCCTTCCTCAAAGTCCCATTTCCCACACTCCAACTGAAAGTAATCTCTTCCTCTCATAGCCCTTTACCTGGACTTTCCCTTTGACATATCCCTTTCAGGTATTTATGTACACGTCATCTCATTGGATTGTAAGTTCTTTGAGAGTGGAGTCTGTTTCTCATTTATATTTGTATTCCTGTTTATTAGTCTTATCTTACATGTTAAGTATTTTACCAAATACTTGTTGAGTGTGACAGTTAGTAATTTTAAGAGACTTGAGGTTTTTTTCCAGTAATTTTATTGAAGCCTTTTTTTTTTTTTTTTTTTTTTTTTTTTTTTTTTTTTTTTTTTTT